CTTAGCCTTAGTTTGGACCTATTCCCTGTAACTTTTCTAGCATTTGAAATCATTGTCTACTCCTTTCTGATGTCTCAAGTCACCTACAGCATCACTGCAAATCTAGTTTCTCTCATCAGTTAAGGTGCACAGACTTGACTTGGCCTTCAGTAACCCCAGGCCATTAATATATAAAGCCTTCAGGAAACTTCATTATTAAAAACTGGCATCTTAGCAACTGAAAAAAACAAAAACAAAAACAAAAACAAGACGTCAAAATGCACATTCACATCAAAGTCAGCTCCAAATATCAAGCCTCTGCTCCCAGCACAAGGCTGTTAAGTGGTCTCATTTCCTCAAGCTGCACTCAAGGGTTTCTGTTCATTGGCATCATGCACTGAAATAAACAAATAACTACATTTGTTCTACCCTGGGGAGAGGAGAAAGATGACAAATGGAAGTGGGAGCGGGGAACCACACAAAATCAGTATTGAGCTCTAAAGCAAACACCAAGCATGGCAAGTTTTTGTGGAAGCAGGGGGAACTGTGCAGTTACCAGCAGCTGGAAAAGAGGCCCCAAGTAGCATTAGGCAATATGATTAATTAGCAGTGCTATCAATCCAGTGGGCAGCAGGAACCAGCCAGGCTGAAAAAGGGGTTCCATTTTCAAAATAGTTCAAGCCAGAACTTTTTTCCTACTTTTTATCTCCCTTCTATTTTATTTGCCAACACAGACACTTGGCACCGTTTCAGTTTATTGGAAAGTCTGAATGCTTACATTGAGCTCTAAGCCACCCTTCAGAAACCCCCCAAAATTGTACAAGGAGCTTAAAATGCTAATTCAGGAACTTGGGCTAGATCCTGCAAGTGCTCACCAGCCTTACCTCTACACTACTGAGAAATGGCACCTCCCGTACTAGGGAATATTGTCACTTGGAGGACACTGACAAGCAGCATCCACAGTACACCTGCAAAACCCCACATCTCTCCAGTGTGACACCTCTCCCAGCCACTGGTACATTTTCACCAGGTTTAGTCTGAATTAAACAGGATTTCTTCTGTAAGCTCCTGCAAATGACTTATGTTCTGAAAACTATGACCGGTGGGAATTGGAAAAGGTAACAACACTCCTTTAAAATAAAATATCAGAAGCCCCAGTAATTTTTCAGTGTCACACTTTGGTCTCAATGGAGCATTAAATAAAATGTGTACACCAGTTTAAAGAGCACACCGTGATACATGACAGTGGTTCTCCTGCAGCTCTGCTTCAGGTTACAGCACAGACATACTCCTGAAATTGCTTTCTGTGCACGCTGTTTACAGGTTAAAAAATAATAATATGGGCTTCAACACATACTCATCTTCAAATCCCCTGCCCTCAAAATACAAACAGAAATGGCTTTTAAAAAGGGCATATAACTTAGGTTGTTGGAAGATTTACAGAGGTTACAAGCATTACAAGTTTAAAGTGGTTGCAATAGGCCCTGGCTTGATTTAAATCCCTCAATTAAAAGCAACTACAAAGGAGGGTCTGGTGTTCTATTTCAATCCAGCCCTCACAGCAGTTGTGCCACCTTACAACTTTAGCCTCTTCTCTCTGGTCCATATCAACAGCAACACTGATTAATAATAGTTTTCCAGAGCACTAGCTCTTGAGGACTCAAAACGTGGCAATAAGGGATCCTAAAGCTCACTAAAGGAAAAAACACAGCAGGCACAAAGCCATGTTCTGCTCTCAGGCACTGGCCAGGCAGCACTCTGCCTAGGCATCCAAAACCCAGTGACATGGCTTACTATGACACTGAGCTCTTTAGGATTTATTTCAACATTGTAAAGCTTGATGTTTTGAACAATATGGGTGCAATAAGCAACCAACCTTTACCTTAACCTAGAGAAAAAGTCATGGTAAGGTTCTCCAACCAGAGAAGTTTCGCAATATTTTTGCTGTATTCTAAACACTTAAAAACTGGTTTAGATTTCATACCAATAACAATTTATAGAGCACTGTGAAAAGTTACATGGAGACTTCTGCATAATCTACATAGCAAAAAGTAATTACCTTTTTTTTTTCCATACAAAACTCGAGAAGACAGTATAAATGCAGGTCTGAGCACCTTTTCAGTCTACTCTACTGGCAGCATGACCATTTATGTGCACCACAGAAGTCCTACTACAAGGGACAGGCCTTGCCTTCTTTTAGACCTGTGCCCATCAATCCCTTGGAAATCAACTTTTTAGTAAAAAAGAGTAGAAAGTGGATTAGAAGATCCTTTGACTAGTGTCAAAGCGAAATACTAAGATTAACAGCAACCTTAATGCAACACAGCAGAACAGCAACTTCCAAAAAAAATCCCAGTTGTTGAATGTTTTAATGCCTTTTGAATCATAATAAAGAAAAACATTTTACATCTAAAAACAAATTAGCAAAATAATGAAAAGTGGTTCCACATAACTTAGAAATTCTTTTTTCCAAAAAGGTGGTTTTCACAGATTTAGGCAACAAGTAAGACTTTTCATTTCAGATCCTTCTGATTGTAAAGTACACATAAACTTTGTGAAAACTGACATACGTCGCCTGACACAGGAGCTTGATTATGCTCAGTGATGAGTTTTCAGTGAAATTCTGCACAATACTGAAATTGGAACTCTCTTCCATCTTATGAAATGCTGGACATGGCTCAGTGCCAAAAAACACTCTTTAGAACATTCAAAGCCATGAAATGTTTTCCACATATTTAGTCACTAATATTATTCACTACCACTGCTCATGTGTGATTTGCTTCAAGGGGAATAGCAGCTTCAGCTTAACCTTCAGTACAATATATAAAATTAAACTAGGTGATAGCTAAGTGTTTTGCTGATTTAAGTATTAGCCTGCTCATAAGAACATGGCCCTAGCACCTTGTTTGGTTTATTTTTTTCAAAGTGAAATTGTGTGATCAGCTCACTCCTGGTGCCAGAGGATGGTCCCTCTGGTGATGTTAAAAGGGTGCAGCAATGATGTTTAAACCGCATAGAGTTCAGTGGTTCTGTATTACGTATGTATTAGAGTAGCTTAAACAGACAATTTAGTTTAGCAGGACCAGAACCAGCAACCCTCACCCCTCAGGTAATAAAAGGATAGTCATTGCTCAAGATACTACACATGCAGGCCATGCTGGAGGAAGTGCTTGCATGGGCTGGAGAGACATTTTCTCTTTTTTAAACAGCATCAATCTGGGTGAAGTTCTCTCGGTCAACTAAGAGAAAAAGTGGGTCTTTTTCTTAAATAATTGAGCCAAACTGTGACAACCTGCAACCCAACATCAAATGGTTTTACCCAAGAGCTTAAAAGCCAGAGGGGAAAACAAAACAAAACAAACCCCAGAAACAAAAAACAACCAAAACCAAACTTTTATACCATCCTTTACCCCTTGTTATTAGAAGACTTAAAACTCTGCAGCAGCTTTCTCCAATCACACTAGTTTTGGTATTTTAACATTACTTCAGTACAATTCTGTATATATCTTGTATCTTAAAAAAAAAAAAAAGGAACAATGAGAAAAACACAATGACCTGTACTATATAATACATACATTCTCCATTAAACACTTCAGGCTTCCTCAGTGTAACACTCCAAACCCATTTAAAAAAAAATCGATACATTCACCATCTCATCCCATTGCACTCCAATGCCATTATATTTTACTTAACAGGAGAACCAGTTAATCCATCTGTCTTCGTGTCATTCTGAACAGTGCTGTAGAGGACCTGAGCACACCTACAGCTTCACATGATCATGAGCTAGAGTTCCTAATACTTACTTTATGCCAACCCACCATAAACTCCATTATTCTATTTGTAGAGTCCACCCTGGGCTTACTATCACCCTTCATCTTCCTCTGTGATATGTCAGCGATGGGGCAGCATCCCCCCTTAGCTAAAAAGATGTGTCTGTCTGCAGCAGCCCTTCTGTTCTTTTGAAGATGTCAGCTGCCACCTTCATTTACTTACATAGTCAGCAACAGAGGTGTAACACCCTTCTGCTGGTGCTAAACAGGCTGAGCACAGTGAGGAGCAAAACCAGAATAAGATCATTCGGGAGAAAGAAGGGAGACCTGTGTTAATTATCCCATTTTGCAACAGAACAGGGACTGCAGCAGCCCTTGCCACGGCTGGGACCAGAAAGGGGAGAGATGATGTTTACTTATCACATTGCTCCATTAGCTTTAAGTGTTAATTATCTTAAGGATCACATTTAGCATGATTGTCTTTCTTCTTGTATCAGAGATGGTATTTCAGCCAGGGACCAAAAGTGCTTTTTTCTTGGCTACAGAGAGATTCAACTTATCTTGATCAACATTCATTTTTGAGGTAGTACTCATTTACTTTGTATTGCTGGCTCAAAATAAAAATATGGGAAGTGAACACAATTAAAAGTATGCTCACAGAAGGTATATTAGAAAAAAAAACAACAAAAAAACCCACAAAAGCAACACCAAAAAAACCTAACAACAACCCCCCAAAAACCTTTTTCCTTTCTGGGCAGATCACCAAGAAGAAGCAATCCTTCTTACAAAGGTCAGCTCACATTCACTGGTAAAGTCAAACTTTCATAAATGGTTTATAACAATAGCTATAAACTAAAGTGCTTCAAAATTTGCTTGACTGGTTTTCAGTGACTAGAATCATAATATTCTGGAATTTGTTAGTATGAAATGTTATGATTTTAGAATCACATTAAATAAGAAGGGCAGAATGAGTATTTTTCTTTTTCAAAAGTACAAAAAGCATTCCAAATAAACCTGGCAGTCTATACTCACTACAGTTTGCTTGCATTTTCCTTCTCAAATCTACTATTTCTCCAAGAGCTGGAACAAGAATGGAATTGAAGTTGCACTATATGGTAGCACTAAAAAAAGTATCCCAAATCAGATGCAAACAGAAAAATGTTTACAATCATACAACCAGTGACATTTACACTTCATTTCAAAGTTTTAGCCCTGCAGATTCTTTTTAACACAAGGCAGAAATGCAGAGTCATGGAAAAATGTAACAGACTGCTATATACTCTCTACATTAATTACTTAAGTTTCACATTTATGTCACAAACATAATGCCCTACTGTGTATCTATTAAATGCTAAATAACTTATGAACATTCATGTGCTCTACGCAACAGTGAACATATTGACCAGTGGATGCCAAAATATAAAAGTTCATACACAAGACAAACTAATTTTTTAAAAAATCACATTTTCTGTACAATTCATGCAAACTGTGCACAAGGTGGTAACAAGAACAACATTTGCTGAAGTCTCCACTTCAGGAAGAGCTTTTACAGCAACTGCAGACCAGTACTCAGGGAAGTCTGCAAAAGTGTAGGTGTCCATGGCAACGTAAAATACAAAATTTCTCCCAGCATTTCATTTTTCTTGTAACAAAGCAGGGATGTTGATGTTCCAGCCAATAGCCTGACGATCAAATCCACATGTGAAGAGGTTACATATGGGGTGGTCCTCACACCATGCTGTGCAGCACACCATCCTTCTGTGGCCCTGCAACAGGTCAGGAGACAGCAGTCATCACTTAGGATATATTTGGAAAGCCACTATGTCAACAAATTAGAGCAGCTCAAAATGCAAATTTGCTAATGCTCACACTAGTTTTTACAAATGGTGCTTGAGAATCCCAAAGGTCATTATTATTTTCATCCGTGAGGTAAAAATCTTGGTAACAATGAGACTCATTAATACCAGCACTGGATCCATAACAACAGAAACATACAAACACATGCAGCAAAACTTTTGAGTTTCCCAAAGTATGTTTGCTATCTAATTACATTTTATTTGCAAAAGCAAACTGAGTTTTGATTTTAGCATTTTTATTTATAAAGGCAATCTTAAAATACAACTACTTTGTTATGAACTTGCAAGATTAAGTGTCCACCACATTCATAATTCAGAAAGGGTAATACTATAACAGGAGGAATGTCATACTAAGGAAAAGCAATGCCTTATCTGTTTTTCAAATTTAATACTAATAATGATTTTGACCATCATTTAACTGAAAAAATAAATAAATAAAATTTGCTATGATTTCAGCAGCGTCAGCCTGAATGGAAATATTAAAGGGAAAAAAAAAATACAAGACTAAACCATAGATTTTAATTAAAAATTAAAAAAAAAAAACAGAAAAATATTTAAAAATATGAAGTTTCAAAACCCATTCCTAAAATCTGTCAAGACCTGCTGAATCCACCCAAAAAAGCCTATTGAAGTGACATAATCCAATTAATTTAACTTAGTCTACTTTGCTCTGTTACTGATGCCTGCCATGCCAAATAGCACCACAAATGCACAAAACCTGCTGGCTGCAGCAAGGATAGGTTAGTACTCGCTACCAAATTTCAATAGTTTATGCTCATAAACATGGAAGAAAAAAACCCAAAATCTATCACCAAACCATAAAGTTAGCTCAGAAAACTGACCTCAACTTATTCATCTTTTTTATAGAAAAAATTAAACAGGTGCAACTGAAAAAATGCCCCACAACAAAAAAACCCCATTAAACCTCATACTCACTTCTCTGGTATAATTCATATCAAGACATTAAAACACATTTGAAACACTCTTACTTATGTTTTCCATGTCATTGAGAAGGAAGACATTAGTTTCACTTCAGTTTCACTTTAGAAAAATTAGGACAAAATCCAGCTGAAACATCATTTCCAATGTCCGTAAAAAAACTTCGCAACATGTTACTTATTTGCACGATGGTTGTTTTCAATAACTAACAACAGCATATTTATACAAACAAGCATCTTCCAGCATTTGTTCAGCTTTTAAGCTAGAGAGACCAAATCCTAGCTTTAACCTTGCACAAAAGAACAGACATACTTTAAGGCTATGAACATTCAGTTACCTGTCTATTACTGCGAGGGAGGCGTGCTAATCGCACTCCTGACATGTCAAATAACCTGACCTGTCGGTTGTCGTGCGGGAGGGCGATGATTCTTTGGCCAACACACACATTAATCCTGGACAGAAGAGACAAAAGTAGGTTATGTACAAAACAATGAGCCTAGGAGACAGACAGTGCAAGTTTAAGCTTATGAGAAATGACACAGGTGAATTTTTCCTGTTTAGAATTCACAGGTAAAAAAAGTATTAAACCATTGAGGTGTTTTCTATTTATTAGATGCTCAAACAGCCTTAACATCTGCAATCTATGCAAAAAAATCTCAGAAAAGCAATTACTATACACTGAAAATGATCACTGATTACATCTGCATTTTATAAAAAGATATCTGACCTTTTTAAAAAATCTACTAAATCTCAACTTAATTTTTAGTGACTAAAATTAAATGTGTATTCCGTGAATTAACAGAATAGACTATTTCAGTTCAAACTGCCTGACCAATATCAATATCAAAGCATGTTATGAAGGGCATTGTCCAAATGCTTCTTATACACTGACAGGTTTGGGGCATCAACCACCTCTCTAGGAAGCCTGTTCCAGTGGTTGACCATCCTCTCAATAAAGAAATGCCTCCTCATGTCCAGGCTAAACCTCCCCTGATGCAGCTTTCAACCATTTCCACACACAAAAGAAATAAAGAATTTAAAAAGTGTGAATTAAGAAAAATAGGAACTCAGAGATCTGCTTACCTGTTGACTGCAGAATCTGTACGGATTGTTGCAATAGGAGATCTCATGTTTTTCAAATCCCAAACTTTTACAGTACGGTCATCACTCCCAGAAACAACATTGTCTCCCACAGTAAAAACTGCAGATGTCACAGTGCTAAAGAATCAGGAATGAAAAGAAGGACATCATGCTCTAAAGTTCTTTGTTAAACTAGCATCTGATTTAAAGTTCTATTTTCTGTTCCTGTGTTTCCTTTATAACATGTAATTTGGTTTGTGGGGCTTTTTCTGTTTTGATTTGTTGGGTTTTTTTTAAAAAAAAAAAAAACAAAACAACTTGAAATATTAAAACTCCAAGTGGGTATTTCAGAATAAAAAATATTCTTACAAGAAGCCATGCTAGTGACATCACAGGGCTTGACTGGCCCAAGCGCTAAGAAAAGAAGCCCAACAGCAGTCAGTCACTCTGGGGGCATCACTTCTATTCCACTAATCCTAATATGAGCTAAACATGTCTAGTCTTGAAACCGTAATTCATTTTGAAGTTCTGTATCAATGTCCAGTGAGTTCAACCAACATTTAATTAGTAGCATGCAGCACAATTCTTCCTCTCAAGTGTTCTGAGATTAGTAGTCAAGTTCTGTTTCTTTCCAAACAACTTCTGTAGAACTGCCTCAAGCAGTTGTCATTCACAGCAGATACCAAGAGATCCAAAATGCCGGAGATGTACCTAGAGCTATTTTGTGCACACATCTGAACACGCTGTAATACATATACAGAGCCTCCACCAGTAAGATCTACAGCAATCTAGTAATTTCTAATTGTTAGTTCTATTCCTATTTTACAAGTAGCTAAAGTCTGAGAGTCAGATAAAAAACTAACAATGAGTAGTAGTAAGAATGACCAGACAGTTCTTCAAATTTTACCCATTATAAGGGCAGCCAGAGAAAGACTCCCAAGAATATTCCTAGCAACTGGAAATGCAACATGTTACTTTCCAAAGAAATTATATAAATTATTTTATTTTAGAATTTTATTATCTTTGTATTTTATACTTTGTGAGAACAATATACTCCTGAGCTCAAATGAACAGTTTTCATGATGATGAGCTGATTTTTTTAAACCTTTTACCTGTTATTTCATATTAACCAATTAAAGTTTTAGTACTACCATATCCATTTTAGTACCATGTGAATTCCCATCTCATAACCAGTTATTTCCTGCCCACACAATATACTAACAAAGCATTATTACTTCTCCCTAAAATCATTAGTGAAAGCATCTCAACTCTGTTTCCACACATTTTGTTTAATGACCTATCTTGTAACTTGGGTCATGCACATCAATTTCTCAGAATTTAGTAATTCTAATTTCAGTTGTCAGTTGGTACTGTCACTCTGCTTGTTCTGCAGAAATTTGAATTCATGTCCTATCCAAGCTGCTGATTGAGATTAGCACTACCCAGGCCACAATGGACCAGTTTATGCAAGCCTCTTAATTTAAATTGACACCGAATTAAGTTTTAATTAGGATGAAGACCCACTTTATTCATGATACCAAGTTTCTTAATGCATTATTAGAATGCAGCCAAGCTACCAGGGAGATGATTACAGTAAGAACTGAGAGGTCTTCACCTAATCTTCTGGACTTCATGAACCAAGAGTCAAAAAGTTAAAACACACATGAAAACCACAACAGATGAGTCTCTCATCAAGCACCTCCACATTTAGGAAAAAAACTCATCCACATAGCCAAATTACTGCAGAATAGGGTTGGTATGCTCTTAGAACAGAACTTTTCTTCCACTTGCCTGATCTCCATTAAATTTACCAAAGTCTGCATTTCTCTCCTCATTAGTTTTTATAGAAGCTGCAAAATACCTCAATAAAATTATTCAGACTTTCACTGAATTCTATACCACTGTATCACATTTGAAACAATGTTTGTAAGTTTTAAATTCACTATTGTATCTCTATACTTTGCACAAACATTGGGAGACTTCCCAGTCTTCCAAGTACAAGGAACTGAAGTCATAGAAAAGCTCCAGGTGAGTGAATATACAGTCTTTTAGTATTCTGCTGCCAGCACAAAAGTCTGATCTGTTTTCCCATCACACATTTTATTCCAGTTACAGTTAGAATATGTTGTGAAACTGTCTTGAAATAACCCTCCAATATTGGATGCTATTTTTCCATAACTTCCCAGCTTCTTTCATCTCGATTGGTTCTCTTTCATCACTTATCACTGTCAAACATAGTTACGTTTCTTCAACCACGAAGTTCTCTCATTCTTAGACGTATCATTTATCAAATGCAAAATTTCAAAACTATCACCATGAAAACAGAATGCTAACTCTAAGTTAACTCGTCTCTTACTGGTCCTGTAAAAATAGACTCTCAAAAGAAAACAAAATCTTTTTCTGTACTGTATCCAGTCTAACCATTTCTTCCAATACTATTCGGTACACCAAGAAAGAGTTTGTACAATAAAAGTGCAATGAAGTTCTGCAGTAGCACTCTCTGGTGACTGGAGAGTGGCAGAGAGGCAAAGGGAAGGCTGCTGGGCTATTTCCAGTGATATCTTTAAATGTGCCTTGCACAAAACTTGGCAACTCGGGGGAAGGTTATTGGCACTTCATCATCATCTGAGTAAAGACCAGCTGTGGGTTTTTTGTTTGTTTTCATTTTTTTTAAGTTGAATATACTGAGTTAATATTTTAAAAAACACATATATTTAAACTCAAGAGCATGTTCAACACTACTGACTTAAGAAAACATGGGCAAGGTTTTTTTAGGCATCATGTTTTGTCTCCTCTGCTGTTCCAAACTGGGGAATCTCTTAAGGTGAGACAGATGCATCTGGTCTCTTATTATTGTCTTTTTCTAACTGAGACAAAATATCAAGAAGAAAGGCCATTTCCTACTTAAAAACTAATACAAGATTTCAGCCCAACTAAAGAGGGAAGGCGAGAAGAAAGGGAAGCAAAGTTTGTGTGGGAAGAAAGCAGCCAATATATAAATAACCTTTTGAAAGTATTGCCTCCCTAACCCCACCCACACCACAAAAATTAAAACTTCTTTCTGCATTTTCATGGAGCTATTTTTACTTTCTGTTAATACTACTCTTCAGTTTGCTCTAACCCATCTGATACCGTGGTTAACATCCCCATGGCTAAATTAGTAAAAAGTGTCAACAAAAGATCATCAGACCCCGTGTTAATGGAATGCTAGAAGACATTAGGTTTTTAATAACTCAAAAAGATGACAGGTATTGTAGGACATTAAAAAAAAAAAAAACTGGCAAAGAGGAAGCAGTCTTATGACAATTCAAACTGTAGGTCCCTCAGGGAGTTTGGTGCACTACAACTATTCTCCAGAAAAGCTTCAGCCTCCGCCAAACCCCAGCAAAACTCATTTATCTTGTCATAGGGAGCAGCCGAGCGTGTACTTCCAGCTGACAGTGTGGCACTTCCTCACCACACACCACTGCCTGGCCTCGAACATCCTGCTCCCTCTGTGGGTCTCAATCAACAGAAATACTGTAGAGCTAGCACTCCTCATTAGGCCGAACAGCTGTCTCCCCAGTCACACTGAGACACAAAACTGTTTTGCATAACAATCTGCTGAAATTTCACACATCGGGGAGGATGAGGGGAGAAAAAAAAAATGTTGAAAATGTTGGACCATGAAATGCTGATGCAGAGCCCTAACTGGCAATGCACCACAGGGAAAAAAAAAAAGTTAACACTGTTCTGTCCATTTTGATTTGCAACCTATATTGGGATTTGCCACTGAACACTTGGAGATGACACATTTTCATACCTGTGGAAAGGCACCTACTCAGGAGCATTAACCTGTGCACTGGATGAAGTTCTGGAGAAAATGGACTAAAACACAGCTTCCAAATAAATGTATTCAATATATACCAAATTGTAGTTAAACAGCAAAATTTGAGTGCCTAAATAAGCTTCTCTCATTTTAAGTAGTAAAACTCAAGAACAAAACCTAAAGGATGCAGTATTTGGGGCAGCTTTTCCTGCACAAGAGTTTACTTTCTTTTAGGACAACAAAGCGTATCCCCACACAGAGCAGTTTGCAGCCTGCAGGAAGCCAGGACCTGGGTTTAAAACCTCGAGATCCATACAACAGTTAGCTCATTTTAAAGGGCAACAACTGTTCTGGTCACAGGAGTGTCTGGTCACAGGTGAGGGGCACAGCAATACCTCCATGTCTGACTGTGCATTCAGGTTTCAGAGGTACCAGACACACTTGATTCTCAGAAAAGCGAGACATACAATTCTCTAAGTCTGTCTGCAGATTTATCTCCCATTATCAGCAGAGCTTTTTTTTTTTTCCAAGTGGAGAAATGTTAAGAACAAACCATGAAAGAATTAACACAGAAGGGGGTAAAGCAGAATTCAGAGATGACTGTTAGCACTGAAAAGTCTTTTTTTTAGTGTTTAAATCAACAATGTTTATTCCAGAGATCTGTGTTCCATGACATTTAGAGAAAACTGCCAGTATCTCCTTTCTTCTCTATCTGCCTTAAAATAATAAAATTATACAGAATTGAAAACAATCACTAGCTTTGATGAAAATTACTGAATGGTAAGTTAGTAAATTAGTTAAGGTGCAGGTATCTTTAAAAATCAATTCAATTACATTTATGGTGGGAGAAAAAAGGTTCATTTATCCTTGCATTATTGCTCCCTCTGTTATGTAAGCTTTAGAACGAAAACACACTATAAAATGTTTTGCTCTCTGCAATTGGACACAAAGGCCACTTATTCTTATAGCTTAAACAGTAGTTTGTTTTTTTTATTTATTACTTAGGAAGAAATTTTTCCATGAGGAAATAGCCAATGACAACAGAAAAGGTTGAAAAACATAAAGGAAACACAACTATCAAAGATTATCTTTCAAACTGCTTCTTCATCACTTCAGCAGCTCCATGGTAGTGCTGTAATTTTCTTTACTCACCAAACTATTCAAATACTAACACATAACAACCATCATGGAACGACTCACTTCCCAGAATTTCAAAACAGTGGTTGCAGCATGTTTCTTTCCTATTCAAAGTGTGCATAGTTGGTTAGATAGTAGAGAATTCAGTAAGAGTAGTTAAAACTCCAAGGAGTATTTCCTATAGCAAAGCCTC